CATAAGAGACAAGATACCCAGTACCGTTATAAAACAGCGTACACGAATTACAGATGCTATATATCTGCTTAAAAAACTCAAATGGGACTGGGCTGAGTATATTGCCAGAAGAATGGACGATAGCTGGACCAAGCTAATACTAGAATGGCGGCCAAGACAGGATGTTCTCAGAAACAGAGGCAGACCTCCGACAAGATGGTCAGATGACTTAAAGAGATTTAGGGGAAACTGGATCCAAGTGGCACAGGACCGAGAAGAGTGGAAAGATTTGAGGGAGGCTTTGAGGTCCAGAAGTGGACACTTCAGGCTGGTTGATGATGATGATGATAGATTTTTAGAACAGTTGTTCATATTTTGTGAAATATACATATACCGGGTGCGTCTCAAAAGTAGCTCACCCCTATAACTTTTTTATTTTTCCAGATAAATAAAACGAATGTTAGTGTATGACATAAATTAGGAATTGATTGACGTATCCAATTGTTTACGGTCACCTCCTGTTTAACCGGAAATGACTAAAACTTTTGATTTTTAAATGGAATCTCGGTATTTTTTTACTTCATCGAATAGAAAATGACACTCTAAATAGAATGACGTAACACATGTCAACTTGACATAGTCTTTAAAAACTCCAAATACCAAGTGTGTGGTATCAAATTATAAGGGACGATAAACATTAGATGATTAAAACTATTTTTCCAAGACTCCTTGATTAAAAATTAGTGTTTTTAACACAGCCATGGAACTCTAGATTGAAATTTAAAATCAGATTTGTTGTTAAGCGAATGTCTATGATAATGTTGATGTCGTTCTATTCAGAGTGTCGAATTTTATCGAATAAAGTAGAAATATACCGAGAATGCTATTTAAAAATCAAAATTTGTACTCACTTCCGGTGAAAAAGGAAGTGACCAAAAACAATAGAATACGTCATTCAATCCTAATTCATGTCATATACCAAACCAAATCTAGTTTTTTTATCTGAAAAAATTAAAGGGGTGAGCCAGTTTTGAGACGCACCCGGAATATTTTTATAAAATATTATGAAATAACGGTGCCAGTCCTTTTGATTATACCTCTAGAGAATATAAAATATGCTGATTTAAATTTAAAATTTATAGCCATTTCCAATAATACTCTAGAGTGTATTTCCAATAATAATCTAGATTCGATATTAAACGTACATGAAATATCGAAAAGTCTAATGTAATATTCTAGTTTTCATCGCTTTTTAAAAGACTTTTTTTGTGTTACGTTTTAATACAAATTTTTATACCTATTAATTTTAAATGCCATTTATTTATCCTTATATTAACAGAACACGAAAATATAAAACAGATTATTAATTTTATATATTTTTAAATATTTTATGCTGAATTGAAACTACCGTAATTCGTTGTCAGTTTTCAATTTATTTGCTCATGTTAAATATTAGAGTTCTTTGAAATATTTCGATTAACAAGAAATATAGGCAATATGCAATAAAACAGAAAATTTTATTAAATTTTAAACAGTACAAAATTTTCATTTATTATGATTTATAATATTTCATATTTCAACAACTAACTGTTATTTCAAACATGCAATATTATATTAAATTTGTTTATGATTAATATAGATGGTTTATTTATTATAAGTCTTTCTTATAAATGTTTGGACAATATCGTGTAAGAACCATATACCTGTTGATATATGTTACGTATATCAGTGAATGTTATACACATAAACATTTTACGATTTATATACAGTATGTCAAGATTTTTTTTTACTATAAACCTTTTGAGAAAAATGTATTCTCTAAGTATTTGCTTGCTCTAAAATGATTAATCCCGTTTATATTTTTCCAAATTTCCATAAAAATAAAAAAAATATATAAAATTATAGTTGAATATTTTCACAAAAATTAAAACTCGTTTCTATGGTAATATTACTTCCTTTTCTATATTCTACTATTAATTTGGATTACCGTTATAATATTTTGCTAATTTAATACGTTAAAAAAGAACAACCTTTTCAGGTCACTTGAACTAAATAAATGTTGTACATCTTTAGCATATTAAAACGGCAAAAAATATCACGTTGGTTAAAATTAATAGGGACTATCTATTTAGAATAATTTGAGAACTGGTTACCACTTGACTTATTAGAAGTTTAGCGACCTCAAACAAGGTGAGCCTTTCCACTGGTATGCGTCTCAAAATTCTATGGTTTTGTTATAATAGGTATATAATTTTTCATAAAATATAAGGGGAACTACTTACGTAAAGGAGCATATCTGAGAGTAAAACTGGCATTTTTGAGACATATTGATTTTTAATTTTTAGGTTTAATGGCCCGTAAACTTACTGAAGGTTTGAAAAATGTTGCAGGGTATTACGCTTGCTAGAATTTTGCTAGATATATTAAGTATTTTCAGTCCGTTCATTTTAAGAGAACTTGCTAGGTCTATAGATATAAAATATAGTTGATAAATATTACAGCTATCGCTATATTTTTATAAATGTTTAATAAATTTTTAATTATTGAAATTTCACCATTTTCTTCGGAAACTCTAATTCAACAAAAAGTTGTGTTTTTAATGGAACGACCTATATATTTATCAATTTTCGGATTCTATGTTAAAAAAATGAAGTTTAATTTCATTATAAATGCAATGTTAATATAAAGTTAATATATTAAATTATTTTGGAAATACTTTCGAAAAATTTCCAATAGAATCTAACTAAATTACAATTTTTTCTCTATACTTCCCTAACCTAACAACCCAGGGTCGATCAACAAAGTTGAAGAGGTAAGATTATATAACAAGCAGTTTAAATGAAATACAGGAACCTACGTTGTGTTAAAAATATTTTTATGGTGACTTACCTTTTGTTAAGCTCGACAGAAGCAGTATTAGGAAAATTTGAGGAGAATATATTATGTAAATCAAACGCTAAATTTGTAAATAGCCCTACTTATTTTATTAAATGAAATGGAAGGAGTGCCGTACTGTGCCTGGAACTTAGAATTAAAAGAGCAGAGAAAGTCTCCATCACTATTCCAAAGAATTCAACTATTCTGTTTTGAACTTTAATAAAAGAAATAATGTGGAATAATAAAATATGTGTAGTTAAATACATTCAAAATATGCCACGTGTATTTTATTCTGTTTCGGGTAGTAAAAGTATGGGTATGAAAAAGTATTTCGGGTATGAAAAAGGCGCCGCGCCGCCGCCGTGTTGTGTTGTGACAATTTCAAATATTAATAAAAGTGTTAACGCTTAAAGGAGGGGATACTTAGAGCGTTTTTGGGTGCAATAATATTCCATAACTCAACTTTCCCGGATATTCAACTTTCCGAAAACACTATTTTATAGCTTCATAGTTTCTCACACCGATTTGTTCAAAAGCTAAAATTGATTCAAGCATTTCGACGAAACAAGTGAATAAACAAAAGGCTCGTTACATAATCAAAAAATTAAATAGACATATACTGTGAGAGGATAAAATATAATTTGCAATAATAATGGTATATTTTGGTCTCGCCTTTTGTGCTTAAATATTTTATAAACATCTAAAATTATAATTATTTACTTTTAAAAATTATTGTTATAGCCGAAATAGCCCCAATTCTGACCCCACTAGCAAAACCTGTGCGTAAAAGTATGCTCGCTACCGTAGTTGAACTCATCTAAAAAGTTTTTTAGCTGGAATAATAAATTATAATACTAAAATAGATGCCCGGTGGCGTAGAGGTACAGGCTCTCGTCTGACAATCTCAACAAACTTACCAATTTCGAATCAACCTTTCGGTTCGAATCCCACACCCGTTATTTCATCGGCCGACTATTTTTATTAAAATAAAAATAGTTTGGGTACCTAGGTCGACTCAGCCTTAAATGAGTACTTGGGATTCACAATCCTGAGGTAATAATAGGCGGTTGAAGCGTAGTTCTAGCCACATTACCTTCCTTATATACCGAACGGCTTTAGTATGGCAAGCTGTACCTTGCTACTCCCAGGACGTTAAACGCTATATACGGGAGCTATTATTATTAATAAATTATAATACAAGTTAAACCTTCTGAAGGTATGAAAATATTTACTTTTTCATTTTTAGAATTTTCGCAAATTATGCTTTCTAACAGATTTAGAATATATTATATAATAAATTTTTCATATACTTGCTATTTAAACCCGTGTATTTGTACAGTTGGTTCCAAAAAAAATGAATACGACTCTTTACACATTTTTTTCGAATATTTGAGCAGTGTATATTTATGTGTCAAGTATTTTGACATGTTAAGGTTATTGTGATATTAAATAAAACAACTTTACTTTTGACAAAGTGGCAAATAAACTTTTCAGAATGTCAGCATGACATGGGTAGAGAAATGGAGGATTGGTTTCATAGAATATATTGCCCGAAATAATAAGAATATGTTTTAAATCGTATTCAATTTTATTGGAACCAGCTGTACATATCAGTTGTTTACGATATTCTCCGATGGTGGCAGCACTGGCAGAGAATTCACCAAATCTATATACGAGTAGAATCGAGTGCCTTTAGCGCTGCTTGGTTATCTGTGAAGATGAAAACGTCGTGTTCTTTCGAGTCTTACTATTTCTTTCACACAATAAGGATTCCTGGAAAAGTGTACATCCAGGCTTACGGAAACAGCTATTTCTTGTTTGAACCCTACTAATTTTAAGAATTATTATTTTTAGTATTTTAATTACTTGTAATTTCATATTTATAAGTTTATAATAGCGTTATATTTATTCAGTAAAATGCAATCAAAAATTATTAATTTTTCCAGTTTGTTTTGCTTTTAGACGGACGCGATGATACTAAAATTAACTTAATCTTAACTGACCTTACCAAAAATCTTGCCTTAGACTATTACTCTTACCTAGAAAAAATCTCTTTATAAGGCGCATTTCCGGTATAACTCATCATCCCCGATATTATAACCCGTCCGAGCCCTGCCAAAAATACCTCCTTTTTCTTTTTGTAGGCGGAGACGGCCCTAATGTACGACGCAGTCCATCTATTCGCCAAGGCCCTCCACGACCTGGACACCAGCCAACAGATCGACATCAAGCCGCTCAGCTGCGATGCGGTCGATTTCTGGCCGCACGGCTACAGCCTTATTAATTACATGAAAGTGGTGAGTACAGGTTTAAAAGTTAATTTTCGGGAGTTGTATTGTAACTATTGAGAATGAAGGCTAGACAAGTGTGTCGTAAAAATCTGATGTGTTATCAAAAAAGCTGTACGATCGTTAGTTGAGCTAGACAATAATAGAAATTAATTGAAAGTTAATGCTTAGCATTTAACACTACAATTTGATGAACTGTGTAGTTTCCTTGGAATTAAATTTAATTTACCTAAACTGGTGTTTAATCCTAACCTCGGCATAAAAAAAGACAATTTGTCGATATGACTGGTCCCGTTTTAAGTTGACAAATTATATGCCATTCTAATCAGAGTGTAATAATTCTATTTAGAGTGTCATTTTCTATCAAATAAAGTAAAAGCAAAAAAATACAAGGAATAAAGAAAAAAAAATATTTAAAATATGTAAATTCAACTATTCGAGAACACTTTAGTTTTTTTTCAAACAGATACGTCTACAAAAACCTCCTTGTTTGTATTTTTTTTGCTTCCGATGACGACGGAAAGAAATAAACTTTCCGAAACGTTAGGCATTTTTTCGTTCGTTAGGCAAATTTGTTTATCAGTAAACCAAACTGCTGACAAGTTTATCTTTATTTGATTACGGCGATGTTATTTATGGCACATCCATAAATTGCTAGATTCTCTAAGAAAATCCAAATACTTCAAAACTCGTGTCTACGGTTTTCTTTTAACATTCCTTTTAGAGATGATACATCTTAAACATCTTAAAAATGTATCTATTTCTACAGAGAAATATTTAATTGATTTTTTCATTTTTACTTTTCGAGAAGTATGCGCGGTTAACGATTCATTTGTTTGGACAAAAGTATTGTAAATAAAATTCAGTTTCAGTCAATTACAGTATTTTTTTAATACGACCCTGTCGTATTTTCTGAGAAATTTTTTAATACGTTTTAATCCGGCCCTGACTAGGAAACCATAATGGCGCCGACAAGGTCAAATTTTATAGAAATTTTAAACAATGGAATCTGAGTAGAGTTGGCGTGCCGATTGTTTTATGTGCCGTGCTTATATGGTGAAATTTTGATGAAATAATTTAGTACTCACTAAAAACACGGTATGTCGCTAGTGGTGGGAAAAATAATTTTTAGAGGTTACTAGTTTATTTGGTTGCTTGTGATATGCATATACAGGGTGTTTCCTAATTAATCTAAAAAATAAAAAAAATCCTTAGAAAACGGCTTAAGGCGGGCTCTTAATAAGTATATTTATTTGTTTCTCGACAACCGTTTGATGAACAAGAAAAACTCAAAAGATCAATTTTGTTGAAAAAGGATGGCCAGTCAAGAAAAAAATATATTTTCTTTAAAAAAGCAGTGGTGTACCATTTATGTTGAGCAAAAAATTGATTTTTTTAAATTTTTAACACCCTGTAGATCAGAAAGGAAGTACTTTAGACCTAATGGTTATATAAAAATTGTTTTAAGAACACATGAGGAAACACACCACAATTTTTTTAGACTAATTAGAAAACACCCTGTATATTGTCAACTTGACAATGATTGCTGATAAATCAAAAAATACCCTTTAAGTGAAAAAATCCCGATTTTCGCAGGAAAAATTTTGGTTTTTATTGAATTTGAGCCTGCGTCTGCAAACACCGGTATGTTTTTTAATTTTCTATCTATCTAAATTTTAAATATCATAGTCAGAAATAGTTTTATTATTTATTAAATGTAAAAATGGTATACTTATAAGTTTTATCAAATTTGTGATTTACTTTCTACCTTGTAGTCTATTACTTACTTACTTGTAGTCTATTTCTTACTATTTTATCCATGACTAAAAGACGACAATTTCATTTAATGACATTCAGTTATCGAATTTTAACTACAGAGCAACCTCCCTATTTGTTCTCGTTATTTCACTACGTTGACCATGCTCATTCGACTAGGCAAGTGCATTATTTTAAAATTCCTCAACACCGAACAGCTAACTTTTAAGCTTTCAGTTATATAGCGCCACATTTGTGGAATAATATTTCTAATAACTTTAAATTTAAATCCTTTACAGTTTATAAAAAACAAATTAAAAATCATTTACTAAGTTTGTAACGTTTTTAGTTCGTTACATGTCTTTTTTATATATAATATATGATGTCTCGCCTATCATCACCGGATTCCCTCTCGTTCAGGCCGGATAGTTTATTCGACGCGTAATTTTTACGTTCTCTAGTCGGCAACCCTGCTATCGTTTCACTGTTCTGTGGAGGCGCTGTCAACATCGCTTCTGTCAACTCTCTCCGTGCTTAACTTCACTTGGCTTTGACCGTCCGACTGTCACCGTCAAAAAATCCTTGCTTCGAGAAACTGCAATTATAAAAATCTTGCTGTATAATTTGAATCAGCTGCTATTTCGAAGTTACAGGGTAGAGTTTTGGATGTCCCAACCTTACTTGTATTTGTATTTTGCTGGCACGTTGGCGTCCCTTTTCTTTTTTGTCCTCCAGAATGTCACATGGAAGAAAGGACATGTTCTTTATTATTTAGTGAGCCCTCGGAAGTAATTCGAGGTAGGTTCATTTTGTTTATTAGACCTTGTTTGATTTTAAACAAGAGTTTCGTATTTTTAGGGTCCAAGGTACGGACTATTTCCAAGGTTATAGTCCTAAGTTATGGTCCAAGGTACGGGTAGTGTTCCCTTGTACCATTATCCTATGTACGGATGTCCTGTGAACGAGTGTCCCCAGTAGGAATGATTTTTCTTGCATATAAAGTGCCCCAGCGTGGATGTAGCTTGAGCCCCATGCTGCTTCGTTCCCATCCATAAGATAGTTAGTAGTTACGGCTGTTCCAATTCATGGTGTCCTTATTCTGGCCCCTTTTGTTGTATTGGATGGCCGAGTACAGAGATGCGAGCCCACCTCACGCTGTTACTGTTTGAAGCAAGATTACATAAAGAACAGCTAAGTTTAGATTTAAGTTTTAGCTTACATCTAACATTTAACACATTTTCAGTCTTAAACAATAACGTACATCTTAAGTAATATCGTACAGACTATGTTTAGTGGTTAGATTGTTAAGAACATTCATGTCAATTTAATATTTAAAATATAATTTAGATCTTAGGTTTCATTGCATTACGTCTTGTAATGTAATGAAACTGTATGTACTTATATGGATATTATTATTGCACTATTTTAACAGATGCATAACCAAACATAGATTCTAGAATCTATGGGTTGCAACATCTTCGATTTAACATCACATAAAATATATCAAATTAATTAAAGTAATACTACATTTCATACATTCTCTTAAACTTTACATGTCTTGTATTTTATCATAGTTGTTTTCATAGATATTTAGCACAACTCTTAACACCACTTTCTTTGACATATAACCACTATATATTTACTAGAACTTTACAATGTCATGTACCAGCAAAGAACATCATGAATGAATATAGTCACTAGTTTTAAGTAATAAACAACTGTGTTTTCTCTCTCTGTTCATGCCTGGCGCCCAATATTTATAATTTCGAGTTATTATTGTTAATTAGTTCTTTCCAGTGAAATACCTTATCCACGACTGCTCTACCAACGAAAAGCTGCCGTTCGCAGTGGTAATGTTTATAAAAAACGCTACAAGTTCCCAAAAATTATAGTAATTTCTTTGGCTGATTTTTGAGGTTCTTGATGTTCTGATATGTCCGTCATTGGTTGCTGTTCCGGAATTTACACTGTTTCGTTCTGCCTTTCTGCTTATCTCCGCTCATCCCTGATAAAATTATGTTTTCCCTTTTTTTAATCTAAGTTCTGCTTATTTTTATAATTTAATTTATTTCTATTTTGTTTTTGAGGTCGCACCACTCTGGCACTTTGTGTCTTTGTATCGGGTTTTTTTAATCCCTTTAGACTCACACATTTATTAGAATAATTATTAATTTGTAAATCTAATTGGATCTAATAAAAAAAATTAATTGAATTGAATTAAAGCTTCCATTGTATTAGCGCAGCAGTGTTTACAAAAAATAACTGTTTTATTTTGCAGATTTTCTTGCAGTGGCGAAATACCTATATATACGATTTTTTTGGAGGGAAAAAGTTATAAACATCATTTTTTAATTTTTTTCATTAAATAGCTTAGAAGTTAAGGTTGATTATCACTATGCCTTCCGTATCAGTTACTTTCCGTTCCCTTTCCGTTTACATAAAATATTATATCATGTAAATGAAAAGGACAATGCACACTATTATTTAGTTTCTCTTCCGTATCCTTTCTTCCCATACATTTTTTTGGCGGACGGACTGAAGCGTATCGGAAACAGCTTTGTCAAGTTCTTACATTTGTACTAGCTCTGTTAATATTTTGCTGATATTTATTATTATTTCACCCCTTAATTAAATCTATTACCTTTTTCAAAAGATACAAATTTTTAAAATAAAAGTTTCGTAATGATATAAATTATTAGTTATGGGCAAAACTGTTATTTTTAGATAACATTTGAAACTGTTATAGGTTATTTATAAAAAACAGCTTAAAATAACAGCTTAAAAATAACAGGTATTTATTTTATTGCTAAATATCTGAAAGAGTATGAGGCGGTCACCGCCAGGCGTATTGACGCAGTTGCAAGTTGCAACAATGACGTGCTCGGTGGTAGTATTTCCAGGGTGTCATAACATTTCTAAAAATATCGATTGTTATCTAAAATACCTCTCTAAAAACGGTGGTTTTTACAAATAAACGCTGTTTACAAATTGCGATATAAAAAAGCCAAAATGCCGCCACTCGTCTATACCTATACATTCCGATGTACCTACGCCTACCTGCGCCATCGATCTGCGTAGATCCTGAATCGCGTAGCAGTGTACAGAGTGCATTTCACTTGACGGGCGAGAAGCTCTTAGTTATGATTTTACCATTTGCGGTCAAAAAATAGCAATATAAGAAAATGTGTAGTATATCCTTCATAAGTATACCAACTACACACTAGAGTTCGAATTAATTTTACACTTAAACTAGC